CCCTTCAGCTCCCTTCTTCCTCCCAGCGGTGAGAACTCAGAGCTAGCTTAAGATGGCCAGCGAGGCTCTCGGGAGAGAGGGTGGCAGCAGCAAGTTCACCAGGTCTCCGAGAGGACCTCAAAGTCTTCAGAGATCTCTGGGAGAGAGAAGTGGGGTCATGAGGAAGTGGGGAGGGAGAGGGCCTTGCTCCCAGTTTCAGGAGGCCCCGCCTTGGATACCTGCTCAGCAGATCCCCTACTCTTCTACAGGGCGTGGGGAAGACACAGAAAACAACCAGTGCAGTTGTGACCCTGTGGGCTCACCTGTGCCCCCATGGCTGAGGGGACATTTTCAGAGGACAAAGAAATGAACAGAGCGCTTTCCCGGGGTGCTGGCTTTGGGGTGATCAACCCTGGATTCCATCCTGACCCTGACTCTTCCTAATTAGGAGCCTCGAGCTTTCTGAACAGGCATTTTCTTGTCTGTTAAATGATGGCAGTGAGCAGACACGAGCCCTCGCCGTGGCGCCCCAGATCTAACAGCTAGCCTTAGATGAGGTTAACAAAATGCGGAGGTGAGCACAGGGGTCACTGCTACTGCTCTTCCTCCCACTGCCTGGGGCTGAGGCACACGGCACACGTGAGTCCCTGGGATTCCCTGTTTGGTTGATACGGGGAGTGACTGTGGGCCTGACTTTATCCTAGTCACCAGCAGACAGGAAATGTCAACCCAGCTCAGAGGACTGCAGGCACACTCAGGTGGGGTCCTCCTTGCTGATCATTAGAGTGTGGAAGGAGGAGAGAGTTTCACGTTGGAGCTGGGGCCGGAGCACTGCCTGGTGTCAGAGACATCATCCCCTGCCCTGGAGGCTGGACTGTGAACACAGCATGACTAGTGTGGGAGAGGTCACCGGCTCAGTTGTCCTGGGTGCTGGCCTTAGAGCAGTGCAGGCCAGCTCCCTTTGCCCTCTGGACTCTATAGCCAGGTCCCAGGCAGTGAGTGGCCCTCTCCCTGTCCAGGCCTGTACTTATTTCTTCCATCTTCTGGAAGCCCTTGGCCTACCTTGGGCCTCACCCTATGAGACTTCCTTCCCCTGGTGACTGTGCCTTTGAAAGTGGCTGAAGAATTTCCTGTTTCAGGCAGAGTCAGGCTGGAGGATGGCTGGGCTTCCTCTCTACCCTAGGAGCTGTGGCCAGGCTGTTTGAGTCTGGGCCAAGCTTGGGGAAGCCCTGACTGGGGCTAGAAGAAAAGACCAGCAAGAATTGGGGGAGGGAATGGGGGCAGGGCTAGTTAGGGTGAGCTGCTGCTGCTGAGGCCGGTCCCCAGACCCCTGGCCCCCACATGTGGTACCCTAGTCCTGTTGGGACAGGAGCCAGAGTTGACTTCTGAGCCTCTAGCCAGGACAGCCCAGCAGGACTCAGGGCCAGAGGCCAGAGGCAATCTCTGGGAAAGAGTCTGTGTTTCTGACACCCGGGCAGTGTAGCTTCCAATGCTTGTTGATTGGCATTTGGCTCCCCCAGTGCTGAGTTCAAAACCAGCTGTTTATTTCCGTCCAGGGCTTATACGCCCTCCTATGTTTCTCTTGAATCTCACCCTGCCACGTTCCAGGCTCTCCCTCGAGGCAAAAAACACGATATGATCTTGCTGGGTTCAGTGAGGTGACCCACTGGAGAGAAGTGGACCCTTCTGCTCAGCCTGGAGCATCTGCAGACCTTCTGCCGAGGTGTCCAGGGTCTCTTCGTCCACCTCCTCACTCTTGTGAGGCTGGAGGAATGGGAGAAGAGGTTCTGTTGGGAATCAGCGGCTAAGGCTGCATCCTCAGCTGAACTGCTGAGAAACCTGCACACCGGGAAGAAGATGAGGGAGCCCAGAGGGGCGGGGCGAGGAACGAGGAACCCTGGCACAGCTGTCAGAGGACCTCATGTCGTGTGGGGTTAGGGCCAGGAGAACTCCAGAGTCCTGGAGTGGAGGCCTGCAGAGGCTACAAGGCAGAGGAAGTGTTTATTTGCAGGTTGTTTGACCTGGAGTGTGCGAGCTTTTCATGTGCTCCAGAACACAGCTCATTTTCTCCCATTACCTCCCCGTGAAGTACCCCAGGTTGGGGACCTGTGACCTGGGTTTCCTCCCTCTACCTCTCCTTGGGTGGGGGTGGCTGGCCTGGCCGATGTCCCTGGTACCCCTGGGGTGGGGAAGGCTGTGGAGGATGGGGTGGAGGCTGTGCTGTTCTGGGGTGAGAGGCTCTCCTCCAAGGCAGGGTCAGGAAGGAAGGAAACCAGTGAGAGGCGTCCTGAGTCCCCTTGAAGCTCTGCTTCCTGTGGGGTGGCAGGAGCTGACTTCAGGGCCTTTCTGTTCTAGGCACCCTGCCCTCCTCTGCCGCCACCCACACCACACTTTCCTCACCTCCAGCCCTAGCCCACCTCTGTATCCACCCTGGGGGTTCCAGGGCTCTGCGTCTCCCACTCTTGCATTCACAGTGGCTCTCAGGCTTATGGCCAAGGAAAACCAGGGGACCGGGAACCCCCGGCTTCAAGGATCTTGGACAGTCCTGATCTGAGGTACCTGAACACTCGTTGGCTTCAGATTGGTCAAGTGGCTATTGCCAGTGTGGTAAGGTGGGTGCGGGTGGGTGGGAGGGTCAGAGCTCACTCGCATGCACCCTCATCTGTGGAGATCCCTCTCACACTCAAGTCTCTGTGTTTGCTCTCTTGCCTCTCTGTCCCTCGTTCTATGTTGCTGTGGTCTGTGAGACAGCCTCACAGACCTGCTAGGTACAGAACAGGACCTTCCTCTTCTTCCTAGAGAGGCAGCTCTCCACCAAGGATCAGCAGCAGGGGTGAGCAGCGGAGGATGCTGTGAGCTGGGATTCAGGCCTCAGGAGGGAGCAGGAGACACATCCTAGCAAGGCCTGGGTATGCCCCAGAAGGCAGGGATGGCCAGCAGGACCCGGGAAAGCACTCTGCCGCTGGCACTCAGGTAGAGCAGCCTGATATCAGCTCTCTGGGGAACAGGACAGCCCATTTCTAGATTCAGTTAATGAACACCCAGTGGCCAAGAATATCTAGGGGCCTGGCGGGCTCAGTAGCTTTTTGCATACATACAGATCAGAACATTTACATGCTGGCTTGTAGCTGCTGGATCTGTGCACACTTGTTCAGGCTGAGGCCACACCGACTCCATGCATTTCCAAGGTTTAGAGGAAACCAGCCAGGGGCACGGTGTTTCCTGGCTTATGGTGAAGGTACAGCCACGGGAACAAGCTGAAAACATCCTAAGTCCAAACCTATCTAAGATCTAGGCCTGGTGGTGGTGCCAGCCTGTAAGCCCACTGAGGAAGCTGAGGCAGGAGGATCAGCAAGTTTAAGGCCTGCCTAGGCTATAGAGTGAGTTCAAGGACAGCCTGTGCAACCCAGTGAGACCCTGTCTCAGAATAAAAGGTTAGAAAAGAAGACAAAAACAAAAACAAACAAAAAAAGGTTGGGATGCAGTTTGGTGCCAGAGAGCTTGTCTAGCATGTTGGTGGCCGGGACCAGCATCATTGGTCCCAACCTGCCCCACTCACTGTCTGTGAGTCTACCTAGGACCCTCGGCTGAGGCTTCCACTCGACTTCCCTGGACAGGATCATAAGGCAAGCTGTAGCTCCAGAGAGCAGCAACAGTCAGCTGTCCAAGTACCACTGCTGCTGCTGACATATTCCTTTTGTGCCACGGTAGAACAAGTTCAAGGCTCATGGAGGTCAGTGATACGCCAGCGTTAGTTCCTCCAGGGAAGCTGCTCCATCTTGTCCTAATCTGAACCTGTCATTTTGGCGTTCATACATTACATCTCTCCTCCCCTGTTCTACCTTTCACAAAACTGAAACCAAACAGGGCAGGGTGATCTACCTCAGGTCAAATAAACACATTTTTGTCTTGAGTCACAGAGTTTAAAACTTGGAGATGACACAGATTTGCGTGAGTTAAAGCCAGAGTTGGGAAGAAAGAGGACAGTTGGGTGTCTCTGAGTCCAGTGTCTTCCTAATGTGTACCCTTTGACAAGTTAGGAAAGCTGAGCACCAGCACCCCTCTTTAAAGTGGGAGTGACCAGACCTACAAGGCTGTATGACTTCGGGGAACTTAGCAGATATTCAACAAATGCTCTACAACTATTTCATAAGTCAGGGAAGCAGTCATGGGCTTTTTTAAAAAATATCTGTTTAAGTGTGTGTGTAAGTGTGTGTGTGTGTGTGTGTGTGTGTGTGTGTGTGTGTGTGTGTGTGTACGTGTGGCAGATGCAACGATGTGAGTGTTGAGGTCAGAGGATAACTTGCAGGAGTCCATTCTCGCCTTCTAACATGTGGGTTCTAGGGATCGAACTCAGGCTTGTTGGCAAGCACCCTTACCAGGTGAGCCATCTTGCCAGCCCTACAATGCTGTTTAGTGATAGGCATTGTGGTCCGGGCTCATGCTTGGGTCCCGGGAGACTCTGACGATTGGAGTGCTTGTGTGATGAAGACAGAGGAAAAACACAGCCTGGGCCAAGGGAAAGGAGTTGAATGTGGATGGGTGTTGGGGACTCTGTGTGAGAAGTGGGGACATGCGGACAAGTCCTAAGACTTGAAAATGAATAAAAATGTACCCAGGAAAATGGGAAGGGACAAATGGGTCAAGCTGAGACTTGAGAGGATAAGAATGCAAGGTTGGAGACAGTCTGCCATGGCAGGGGGCTGAGGGGACCGTGAGGGAGGCTGGGTGAGAACTGTGCCGTGACCTGAGAGTGGGACCTTTGAATAGAACTGTGTGGACACCGACGTTCTCAACAGAAGCATGTTCAGAGAATAACAAACTTAGCTTCAGTTTATTCTTTGTTTCTTTCTCAAAAGCAATTGCTTCATTGTTGACCTTTGGAAAGGTCATTGGCAGAACTCGGCTCCTGGTTAAAAGGAAGAGATTCCTGCACACCTATGAAAGGCATGCAACTTTCAACTTCCTGATGAACTAGCACGCATTGGAGAAGTTGCTGCTCTGGCTCTTCACCCAGAGGACAGTCAGAGCTTTCCAGCTAGTGCTTCACCCTCTTATGTCACTGGCACTTAGCACATTGCCGGTGATGACTCAGAGCTGTCCGTGGTGATGGTAGGGAGAAGGAAGTTTCTAGAAGGTCTCACTCAGTACAGTGAATTTGATCTGTTTGCCAGGGCCATTCCAGGTTCCTGGGGTCTGACAAACAGGCATTTTGTAGCTATGGTCAAATTCTGCTCTTCTTAGAAAGCTGATGGCAAAGGAGAGAGGCTGAGAATCCGGTATTTTCAAGAGAAACGAGACCTGGCTTCAAGTCTCCGTTGTTTGAACTCAGGCAAATGGCTTCTTCTGCCTCTGGGGACTGGAGTGACAGACACATCCCCTTCTTCTTGTCCTGAAGATGAGATGAGATGGAGGACTGGGGCTCAAACCAGTAACTGAGCAGGAAGGAGGCTCAGGGCTGGCAGAAAGTGGTCTCCACCATAACCACAGTCTAGACCACAAGTCCAGACCCCTGGGGTTGGGTTTGTTTATGTGACTTCTCCAGTGAGAGGAAATGACAGGATGTTGCTAGCAAGCACTACCTGATCGGTTCTGAGCTCTTGGGTAAGACCCACAGGAGGGGCTGGGCGTGTCAATTAAATGGTTCAGGAAGATACTATTCAGTGAGATACTTCTTTTTTTTTTTAGACAAGGTCTCTATTATGTAGCCCTGGTTGTCCTGGAACTCGCTATGTAGACCAGGCTGGCCTTGAACTCCAAGAGATTCATCTGTTTCTGCCTCTGCCTCTGCTGTGATCAAAGTGTGCATGCACCACCACTCCCAACTCAGTGAGCTACTTTAAAGGAAGGTCAGGGGGACCTGGGACACCATCAAGAAATGGGTCACCTGGGAAATAAGCAAACACTACCCAGTCAGCCCACAGGACATTTTTGGAAACTGTGCAGAGAAAAGGAAGTTCAGGAAAGGTGGGCTAGGGGCAGGGAGGGAGAAGAGTCATTCTGCGAAAACTCCAGGAAAGTGAAAGCAATGAGGTAAAAAACAACACACAGGGGTCCCTGGTGCTGCGATGAGCGGATGTTCAGTGCAAGTCTCTGCCCTCCTTCACCCCATCCTTTCTTCCTTCTCACCCTCCCCGTCCGTCTTTCTCTTCTCTTTCTTCCCTTCCTCCCTCCCTTCGCCGCTCTGTCCCTCTGTATCTAATAAATTTCCAGATCCCGCCAAGTTGAGTTCCTGAACCGTCTCCAGTCCCCCTCCCTCTCTGCTTCAGTGTCGTCACTCGGTGCTACTTCAAGAGTCATCCGACTGCTCCGCCTCGAGTCCACCGTGGACATATCCAGTGTTCCCCACAGTGCAGCTGTGTGGTTCTCAAAGGACACAAACCTAGTCCCATCACACACAAAATACACATCACACACCACACATACACATCACACACACAAAATACACATCACACACAATACACACCACACACACATCATATACACACCACACACATACCACACACACTACATAATACACACCACATACACACACACATACCACACCACACATACATCATACACACACCACACACATACCACACATACACATCACACACACACACCACACACATTCCCCACACACACACACACACACACACACACACACACACACACACACACACACACACACTTCCCTTTGTTCTTGAAATAAAAATAAAAACTCACTGGTGAGACTTACAAAGCCCTGAACCTTCTGGACCCTCCTCACTGGCTAGAGTGTCATGACCCTCCCCTTTTCTGTACCCCAGCCACACTGGGCTGCTCTTTGTTCTCAGCTGCCCTTGTTTGGCCATGGAATGACCCCCTGCCCCCAAGGCTTTGGATGCTTGGCCCTCAGCGGGTGGTGCTGTCTTGAGAGGCCGTGGAACCTTTTAGGTGAGGGGTACATGCTGTGGAATGTCAGTTGAAGATGTGTTACATTTGTTTATGCTGTAGAACATTTGTTTAATGACACAAAGATGCGTTGCATTCTTTCATGTTGCATTTGTTTAACTCTGTGAAGCTGTGTTACTGTGCCTGTCTAAAACACCTGATGGTCTAATAAAGAGCTCAGCTGCCAATAGCAAGGCAGGAGAGAGAAGTAGGCAGGGCTGGCAGGTAGAGAGGATAAATAGCAGGAGAAAAGGAGAAGATTGGGGAGCAAGAAGGAGAGAGGACTCCAGGGGCCAGCCACCCAGCTACACAGCAAGCCATGCAGTAAGAAGGAAAGAAAGGTATAGAGAAAGATAAAACCCCGGAAGCAAAAAGTAGATGGGATAATTTAAGTTAGGGGAAGCTGACCAGACACAAGCCAAACTAAGGCCAGTCGTTCATAAGAAAGAATAAATCTCTGTATGATTATTTGGGAGCTGGGTGACGGGCCTCCCAAAGAGTAGAGTTTAAAAACAACAACAACAACAACAACAACAGGTGCAGACAGAGGAGATGGCTCACCTGGGGCGGGCTTTGAGGAATGACCCAGGTGAGCATCTCCCAGCGTCAGTCAGCCACACGCACTCTCACTCCCCATCTTTCTCCCCACGGTGACTACCTTCCTTCAAGCCAAGATTCCTCCCTCTCTTGAGGTGCTTTCGCTGGTTTGCTTGTTTGCAGTGACTGATGCCCTGTGCTCTCTCCAGCCTTTTACCTCTGCCTGTCCCCCGACCAAAATGCTCACAGCCTTTTGTGGCCATGGTAACAACATTTATTCTCCATCATGGAGAGCTGGGCATGGGGTGTAGACCCTTCTATACCACCAGGCCATCTTCACTTCTAGAAGGAAAGATTCTGGGTCCACTGGTGTTCCATAAGGGGACGGAGAGGACAATGACATTTGCCTAACTACCTGGGAAACTGTCCTTGAATGTCTCCAAACACAGTGTACCCAGGAGACCAAGCTCGGTAGAACTGAGGCCTCATTCAGAATGCGCCTTCCGGCAGGCTGGTCCATGGCTGGCAGGTGCCAGCACGCTGGTGGGAGGTGGAGAAAGGGACCTGTGGCTTGTATCTTTGGAAGTTCCTAGGGGCAGCCTGGTAGGAAGACTGCAACAGGACAAGTCCAGTCTCTCTTGAGGGCATAAGGCCGACATGTCAGCTTCTGTCGGGGGTGGCGTGGTGACCACTCTCTACCCAAGGCTGGCCTTGCTTCCAGACATCCCTGTTTCTCTTCACCATTCTCCCAACTCTGCCTTCTTCAGTCTTGCCTGTTAACTTCCTAGCCTGACCCACTTCGTGACACTCAGGAGTGAGACCTTTCACCTTAGCCCTCTCTGCCTGGAAGTCATCCTCCAGGCAGGCTGGAGTTAACCCTAGGCTGAGTCTCTGGGAGAGCAGAGTGCACCGTTCTGGGCCTGAAACAGGAGTGAAACGTTCTGCTTGGACCTCCCTCCGGGGCGACTTCCCCAGGTGCGTCCATTTCTAAGCCAATGTGTCTGCGTGTGGAGAGAAGTGTGGTCAGAGAGGGCAACACTCAGGGCAGGTGACTCATCAGCTTGCTGATTCGCAGGGCCTCTGGTCCTCCTTCCTTCTTCCTCCACCTCGGGGCACGGCCTCTCGCGCCCCCCAGGTTGTCCTTCCCTCCTTGCTGCGGCAGGGTTCAAGTTTAAGAAAGTTGTACGCGCACCTGGGAGTGCCCAGGGCAGGGGTCTAACTGGGTTTTTCTTGATGTTTCTGCTGCTACCAAGGAGAGAAGGCCCTTACGTGCCGAGCGAGTTCTTAATGCCTGTTGAATGAATGAATGAATCAGTGACTTCACAAATGAGTTTCCTGTTTTAAACATTTACCCACCCTTCTGGGCGGCCCAGTTAGCTGATGTTAGCACCATTTACAGCCACGTTGCCTGGCACAGTGGGGACCTCTACTCCATACGCTCCCAGCTCCTGCGCCATTTCTGGCTCATCCCCTGCTTCTCAAAGCTGCTCCTGGGGTCAGACTAGGGGAGGGCCCAGCCACAGCCAGGGCCCACCGGCTCGGAAGCAGGACTGGTTGCTCAGATGACTTCAACCTGGACAATCTGGAGGCTTGACGCTGTGCCTGTCCCGTGCCTCTTTTACAGACAGGGCGGTACTAGACGCTGGCCTAACCTGCCTGGCCTTGACTCCCTGAATAACCCGACAGAACCTTTAAAAACTAAGCTTTCTCTCTCCCTCCCTCCTACCCTCCCCCCTTTCCCTCTCCCTGTCTGTCTGCCTGCCTGCCTGCCTCCCTAACTATCTCAGGTTTAGACTTTGGAAAGGCACCCTCCCCCCTTTTCCCGCCCCCTTTCCCTCTCCCTGCCTGCCTGCCTGCCTGTCTAAGCTGCCCTAACTATCTCAGGTTTAGGACTTTGGAAAGGCACCCTTCCTCCTGGCCGGCGGGTCCATCGCCCAGAGGGCGCCCCCTGCTGCCTGTAACTGCCAGAAAGGGCAGAGGTCGCTCTGGGGCTGAACTCCAGGACCCTTTGCTGTGGGGAACTTGCCAGGCCGAGGTGACTCAGCACCCAGCCCAGCGGCAGGGGCGAGGGGTGGGGAGGGGCCTGCTGCCCTCGCCCCTCCCCCGGGCTCACCTCCTCCCTCCGCAGGCCTCCTTAACCCAGTTGTTAATCATTAATGTCTTATTCCAGAGGGAGCCTGCTGCCCTGGAGCCTCGGGGCACATCCGCTCCTCGTGCCCCAGGCACAAGTGAGACTCAAGTCAGGTCTCCGTGTCTGGTGGCAGAGAGGGACCCCAGCCGAGAACTTTCCTCTCCTTGGAGGCTCCTTTTACTATGCTCAACTTCTCTGCATCTAAGTGGCTGATTTCTTGCCGTCTTCACAAACGCTGGAAAGCTTAGGTCTAGCCAGGGTTCTAACTAAGGCCCCAGACCAGGCTCAGGTTGTCTCCCAAGTCCAGAGAGTCATCCCGAACTACCGATTTCACAGTTCCCGGGCCCGTGGGATCACTGCTCCCCTCTCCACAGCTCACAAGCAGCCACCTCTATCCCCACAGTCTTCGTCCGTTTTGGCAAGGATGGATGCCGAGCCGTCGTGGGTTTTATGTCAAATGCTGCTTTGGTTGAAAGTCGTCGCCGAGTGCGAAGCTGAAGGGACAGCCCCTCTGTTGTTCACGGAGGAACTCGCTCATACAAATGAGTGTAAGTAGTCTGAAATAAACCAGAAAATTTCCAACACTGGGCTTCCCCGACCCTACAGTAAATATGGCTTTCAGGACCTAACACCCGCGGGGACCGAGTGAGCCTAGGGGCTTCTCTGCTGGCACTACAAGGGGCGCCCGTGGTCCAGCAACATCCTGGCCAGGGTGGTGGCCAAGTTGTCACGCTCTGCAAGGTCACTTCCTGTCATCACCACAAGATGTCGCTGCCGTTTGCAATTAGCTGACACCGGGCAAGACCAACAAAACAAAAACTTCGGTTTTGGTTGTTGGTTGGTTGGTTTTATTTTTGTTTTTTGGTGGAGCCCTGAAATCTGTTTTCCATAAGCGGGCATTATTCTGCAGACGCGAAAGTTAAATGAAGGTTTTCGTAGATAAGCACGAAAAAGGAGAGAATGTCATGCTGATCAGAGCTACTGGGTATAGCGTAACACAAGTTTATCAGCAAGAAGGAAAATGACTGGTGTGTCAGCTTTCCCTGGGGACGTGAACAAATGCCAGCTGGAGTGCCAGTGACAGGCCAGAGCAACGGCTACAGCATCTAGCCTGGTGAACCTATGAGCTCATTGAATTTCAGAAGCGTGGGTGACTCAGCATAGATGATGATGTCCCCCAAAGCTGCACAGGGGAGACCCCTCCCTCAGTTAACTCTCTGCCCCTTAGCACCCCCGAGACCACGGGAACAAAATTACAGGGAGGTGAGAGACAGGTGTCGCAGGAAATGAGCGGCTGGACTCCCAGGTGAGGGTCTCATGACCCTCCACACCCCTCCAGAGTCTTTGCCTATGATTATTGCCTATGTCTAAATGACATGAACAGCAACATCATCCTAAGGGTCGGAGGGAGGAATTGGTAAGACCACTACACATGTTGCTCATAACACACATAAAGTGGTACCCTGTTATCTGAAGACAGATTAGCTGTTATCACATGTTGCAAACTTGAGGGTAACCATTTAATTTTTTAAAAAACATAATTGACAGTGTAAGTCACCATTGAACAAATTTGAAGCAGAAATTCTAACATTCATGAAGTCAGATGTCCTTTGACAACACAAGCTCTCGCCAAGTCAGGAGTAGAGAGGAACTCCCCAGTGACACACCTCCAACAAGGCCACACCCCCAGTCCTTCCCAAACAACTCCACTAACCAGGACTGAGGATTCAAAATATATGAGCCTAAGGGACGATCTCATTCAAACCACCACAGACCCAGAACAGACAATACAACTTCAAACAGTCAAGACTACTTTATTTTAAGGTTTCAGAAAGAGATCATTTGGATAATGTGATGTTGGCATGAAGGAAGACAGGCTCCTGGGAGCTGTTCTTTAACATTAAAGTGGATGATGCAGA